AGGCACTTGTGTCTTGGCAGCCACCTTTCTTCTCTCCCTTTGATGCAGCAGGGCTCAAGGCTGCTGAGAGGTGATAACTCCTGCTCGGTTGCCCACCCTTGCGCCCCAGGACCGGCCTGGGGAGCATTCAGAAAGCCCTTCTCTCATCTGCAGCCCCACAGGGTGTTTGAGGACTCCTCGCCTTGCTTTTCCTTTGGGACATTGTGGTTCGTCCTCCTGAAGGAGGAGGTACATCTCCAAAAGAAGGACCCATGGCAATGGGGAGCTGCGTTGTGACGATCCCCGCTCAGCTGCTCCTGCCTGCGATGGCTATGGAGGTAAGAAGTGGCTGTATATCTAAACTGAGCATCAAGCCGCCACTCCTGAGCATATTGCCAGAAAATGCTGGGTCTGGCTGTTAGTCTCACCGGGCCCAAAATAGCTGTGATCTGTGTGTGCCCCAGATCTTCACCGCCCATGTGGATTTTTCGCTTTCATTCTGTCACAGTGCTCACTTGCGCTGCCCAAGTTACAGCAAATTTCTTAGTCATTTCCTTATCTACCAGACATAATGTCACACTGGTCACTGTGCCTTTCCATGTAACAGCGTCCTGTTTTCAATGCTCTGGCTACACCTCCACCAGTAAACTAAGCAATGTTGTGTCATGGATCCTCTCCTGGGGTTTTTCCACACTGTCAATGGGAGTGGTGCCCAGGACCCGCCTAGGGTTACCACTGGGCAGGGGCCATCTCTAGTAGACAAAGCAGGTGTAGGTACCCTAATCTGGAGAGTGAAAATTGTAACTATACAAACACAGACATGCTGCACCTCAGGGGCAACAAACCAATCCTAGCCCTTTGTATCCATGGGACTAAGGACTAGAGAGACAAATTTCTCCTTTCTCTGAAGAATTATCACCTTCTGACTTTCACTGGATCTCAGATGATACACTTCACTGGATCTTCAGTGGATCACATCTCAGGGTGAGCTTCACCTCACCAGCCTTTGGCTGCTTAAATCTAAACTGCAACCACTAGTCTCCCTCCTTAGTAAAGGGACAGAAACAGGAACCTCTAATGGGAAAACTAAAATAGATGGGGTGAGTCACCAACAGGAGACATCTGTTACTATCCACTAATTAAAGACAGAGCCAAGAGGAATAATGCAAACAACTACCTTCACCCAGATAAACTTGGGTGATGTGAATCTTGCTTTACATGTGTTTTCTCTAACCAGCTTACTGAGTCCTAGGACAAGGCAGTGCAATATGCATGCTGTCAGTCAAACTAGTGCGCTACTGGTGCAGATGTACCAGAGTTTCCTGTGCATTTCTGAGGTGTTGTTTCCTGAGTGATTGATTATTTGTGTAAAATTAATGTTCTGAACATTTGAGGGATATATGTCATGCCATACAATATGCAATGTACTGCATTCTGGATTCATGTCATAAATGAATTTCAGATACATTTTTAAACAGCATATTTGTTCCCTGATTTATACCACATGGCTGAAGGAGAATGTACACTTCTGTCTAGTTCATCAGATCCTGTAAAGTTAGTTGTCCCAGCAGCTTAAGCAGAAATGGGTGAGTAGTAGTGACTCTCTCCAGCATATATAGGAGTAAGTTAGCAGTAACACCATGTTATACCCACCCACGGTGGCATTTGTGACAGCATGGAATAAATGAGAAGCTGGGAAGTGGCTCTGCCAGAGGCCTGTTCCTTTCCACTGTTTGATATCTTCCATTGTTGCGGAAGGGATGAGGAAGAAGGGTCAGAAGAATGTATATTTCCTTCTCCACAGGCCATAAAATATTGGTATGGCAATTCTCTCTGAAATAGCCGATAAAAACTAATTTTCCTCTTCCCTCCATGTGCTCATGCGTGTGTGAATAAATATAAGCTGACATGGGACTTTTATGTGTGCAATAGTGTGGGGTACCATTATACTTTGCACTGCCAAGTTTTTGGCATGACCACATGTCTCATGAGGAAAGGAACGGTTCATGAGCCATACAAGTCTTCTGAAGAAACACGTCATAAAACCTGTGGTGCGCTCCAAGCCACTGTGCATGCTGTTTGTTCCATTTCCTTCCTTCCGGTGTTAGTCTTCGCCTTTCAAATTCTTCTGATTTTCCCCCTCTCATTGGAGCACACTGGTTACTATGGAAACTGATCTGTGGGTACCGAACTTGGTGACATCCACACAGGAGGCATTCTTCCTGGGAACCTAAATATTGACTGGGTGGTTATCCGTCAACACTGCACGTGCCTTAGATTTTGTAAAAACCCACAGGAGGCCACTGAAGGAGAAGAGGTAGCAGCTGAGGTTGTGATGAAAAGAAACCCCAACTCCAGCCACTGGCATGTTCTGCAGTCCCATGACCTTCCCAGTGACACAACCCCGTGACTCAGACGGGGAGAAACCAGAGACAGGCTGTGCTGAACCACAGGACCGTGGATCCTTCCCAGGAGCAGCTCCATACGGAGAGAATTGCACAAGGTCACTATAGCTTTTCTGGTGAGCTTTAATGATGCTTACCAGAGAACTATCAACAAAAGCTAAAAGTAATTAAAGCAAACAGACATCACACACAGGACACCAAAAATGACCATGAACAAGCTGTTTTACAGGTGGTTTTTCACATAAAATAGAAATTAATCTATGGCAGAAAATCCTTCGTGCACTTGGCTGGGTGGTACTTTGTCCTTGTTTTTGATAAAAGTGTGGATTGCTTTCTGGAAGAGAGGCACACGTGCTGAGCTGGGCTGTCATGATGCAATCAAAGGCGCATGTTCTGGAGCAGCAGTTGTTCATATAGGGGGATTTCCAACCATGTTTCCAGGGGATTAGGAAACGTCTCCGAGCATCGCAGAAGAGAGCTTTTCATCATTTAACAGACCTCACAAAAAGAGGCAGGGAGGCACCGTGGGAGGCAGGCAGGGCAAGAGCCACCGGCGGGGCAGAAGTGGGAGCCTGGAGTTCAACTACGCAGCAGTGTCTGACAAGCAAAAATCAGAAGCTTGTGTTTGACAAGGTCTGGGGGATGTTTTTCATCATTGCAAAGCCTGTGTCCAGAAACCCGTCCTGTTCCTAGCCCAGCACTATGGTGTTAAAAAGTGTCCCCCAGTGAGTACCAGCAAATGCTGCCAATGAGTTTCCTACCGGAGAGAGCTAAAATCTTCAGACTAGAGGGGTTGTTTGGCTTGTTTTGGGTTGGATTGGTTTTTCTTCTTTAGTATGAAATGCCCGTGGTATTTCAGTTCACTGACAAACCGGGCCGGTTGGCTGCCCTAAGGTACCAACAATCCTGTTTCTGTACCTGGATGTGTAAGGAGAGGATGAGGAGCTGCAGGCTCCCTCCTCACCCTTTGATGTTCGCCCCACAGCCCTGGCTGGGGACCTCTCAGGCTGCCCTTCCTCCCCTTGAGTACCCCAAGCAGAAAAAGGCTGTAGTAGCTTTAGAGGCCAATGGCTGAGAATGAAATCTGATCCAATTGCAAGCTCCTCCTGAAGGTTTTTTTTGTTAAAAAAAGTTCTGTTTGGAGGTTGATCCCGTTACGCCAGTAGCAGACTAGTATGGGCAGTGAAGTACAGATTGCATTTCTTAAGACAGTAAGTGGGACTACCCTCAAAGACAACTGAGTAATTTAACACCTTGCACTGTGCTGTCACATTTTCATTTAGCAACTACATGAAAAGTCATCATGTCCCATTTTTAGATGGCCACCTCCCTGTTCACACTGATCTTTATAACAAGCACACAAGTGCCTGTCTATATTTAAAGTGGGCTCTTTGCAGAACCATAGAAATTTCAGGGAGACATAGATTTGAGGCTGATTTCTGCAGTTTGCCTAAACTTTCAGGATCATTCCCAGGCTCTCTCTTCCCTCCCAGCACTGTCCCCATCCTCCCCCTCCTGCTCTCTCAGGGATGGGACACAAGCTACCGCAGAGATGGGGCTGGCCCTAATGCACTCTCCTTTCATTTCCCAGTGAGTCAATTGTAGGGATTTTCCAAAGGCCTTTTTTTAGAGCCTCCTGTTGTTTGTTCAGCCAGCCCTACAGAAACATCTAAACCTGTTTTACTTGAAAAGAGAAAGAAGCCTAACCTCTCTGCACAATTAGATTGGGCTGTCTGTCTGCTCTTAGCCAAGAAAAAAGATGCCAGCCAAGTTGAAGGAACAATTTACCTGACTGACATCTCAAGAGGAACAGAGTGAGTCCCCTAACTGAAACTTTCTCTGCAGCCACAGGGCAAAAAAATCTATCCTATTCCCATGGTTTTGGCTGTTCCCCTCTGAGTCTGCCTGAGGAATGATGACTCTGGTCTGCTTTTACTTGAAATAAATTGGCTGGCCCTTCCCTAACCAAAACCAGTGTTTAAAATGTGACAGAGGAGCAGCTGTCCAAAAATTAACAACGAACTGATGACCCAAAGTAACTGCCAAAAACTCAGGCTCTAAAATACATGTATTCAAAATGAAAATACATAAATATTGCTAGATACCAACAAAGAAGCTACAGAAATAAGCTGATGTACTGATGGTTTTGTAGTAATCTTATGTGCTACGTACACTTAAAAAGATTTAAAAAGTGAAGCAATAGCAAAAATTGCACTTGATAGGAAATCAACTGGCTTGAATTCATGCTGGACAGAAAGAGAATTATTGTGTTATAATGAGCTGTGCTGAGCAATAATTGAGTAGAGAAATGGAAAGAAAATTGAACAGCAACATCTCCCTGTCTTTCCTAACAAGGAGATATCTCAAAATTTAGCATCACTTTTAAGACGATAAGAAGTAGCTTCAGAGCAATCAGCGGGAGAGGTGACACCTCGGAGCTGCAGAGTCCCAGACAGAGTGAAAAAAACTGATGCTGAATACGATTGCTAACATATTCTGTCCCTATACAAAAGGCACCACAGGAAAAGGCAGCAGAAAGTCCAGAGCCAAGACTTGCAATAAGGTCAAAAATGAAAGCCAAGACAGGAAAAAGATGAACAGAAGGGCAGCACCAACCTCTGATCACCTGCGTCAACCAGCAAGACCTCTCCCGTATTTGCAATCGTGTTTGCATACTGATGGGAGCTCTAGACTTGGAGCCGAGGGACTGAACTTTTATTAGATGCAGGCTGTCACAGACAACAGCAGCGTAACAAGGTTTGAACAGCCTCCGTCTAGCTGAGCGGGACTGAACTGCTGCCTATAAATACACCAGGGAAGGGTAAGCATCAGGGGGAGGGGAGAGCTATTTCAGCAAAGAGAGAGATTTCACAAGAACAAATGGCTGTAAAGCGTCCGGGGACTTGTGCAGGCAAAACCTCATCCTGCAGAGGGGACAAGCTGTGCCACCCCTAGCTTGGCCTCCCCAAGGCATGGACCTGCTTCAGCCCAGTCTATCTGGAGCAGCAGGTGGGCTGGCACATGCCATGAGGCAGAGGATGGGCATGAGGAGCGATTCAAAGACCACAGGCTTTGTGAAGGTGGTTTGGGGGCAGCTGTGTGCTCCCAGGAGGATGGGGACTGAGGGCGGTGTCCTGCTGCATGCCAGGGACACTGGGGTTCCCAGCATGGGGCCAACAGGACGCACTGGCACCCTGGTACCACGTGCCTTTCCAGCAGCATGAGCATCTTACGTCCATGTAGGATTTACATTCAGTAAAGATTTCCCAAAGACTTTGACTTGAAAGCCAGATTTCAAGCCAGGGGATGAAGCGTCCCCATGGGGAAGCTGCCAGCAGCATTGACTTTGAAATAAATAGTAAAAATAGAATACGTAATAAAAAATACTCAGGGAAGTACGACAGCATATTTCTTCCCTTCTGGTGTTCAGAGACACTTGGTACATAACTGGGCAAACTTCTTCCACTTGAACAGTGAATTGTCCAACTTGAATATTCTCTGAAAGGCTCTGGGGCATTACTCTCCTCAGGACAGTGATGGAGCAGGAGGTGGAGGGAAAAGAAGGAAAGCTTCACCATGAAGAATGGTAAAGAAGGCAAAAATGCAGCATGTGACAGGGGACTAGATCCTAATGCAATGATAGCCCAGGGCTCTGCCACCAGCCCCAGGGTAAGCAGGCTGGGGCTGACCTGCTGCCCTGATGGGGGACCGTGCAGTCCCTCTGCTCCACTGTCTTGTCCCCAATGCACAGAGGCTGCTGGGCACAGCCGTCCCTTCACACTCCCAGCCCCCTGCCCGACCACAGCGAAGGCATGAAGAGGTGGCCATGGACCCACAGCCCTCATGCAGGGCAATTCCCGAGCATCTCTCTGCCACACAAGCTTCCTTCTCAATAGAAAACTACTTTTAGCAATTAGCTAGACCATTACCATTACATTTAAAGGCAATTGTCAGCTTACAGATGGCCCTTTTTTCTTTTTTTTTTTCCAGAACTTGAAGTAAATAGAAAGTTTTGAAAGGTTTGTTGGGGAAGGGGGTGTTTTTCCAGTAAAAACAGATGGGTTTAGGCAAATAAATATTACGTTACTATGTAATAGTCACAGCACAAACAACACAACACTAGGAACTTAACAGCAAAACTCTCCAAATTAAAAACTGCATTTCAGTCCCCAAGCCAAGAAACAGAGAAGGTAAAGGGAGATGCTTTTTAACTTATCTCAAATTTAATAATTTCAGGTGTTGTTGGTGGCACTAGTAAAGAATTATGTGTTTAAAATATAAATTTTCAATACTAAAAGCAAGAACATACACTGCAGGGTATAAAAGTTTCCCAAAATGAAACTCTTCTTTTCCCAAAACAAAAGATAGCAGAATAGATCTGATAAACACTGGACTCTTGGGGATTATGTCACCTAGTCTGAAGTATGCATACAGAGCAGGAAAATGATTCTTCTGTAAAAAATCATGATCTCTAAATTGAATCCTTTTGTTGGTTTCCACCCAAATTCACTTCATTCTTAGTTGACAAGATCACATCAGAAAGCTGGCTCTTGGCTTGCAGTCATGGATTAGCAGCAGCTTCATTGCACAGTGTAAAATAAAAATTTGACTAGACCTATACCATCTTCCATTGCAATTACAGATGTCCACAATAAATTGATATAGCGGGTTAATCTTATTCTGTCTGCAGTGTAGGGAGTGTAGAGTCAGAGCCCACTCCGAGGGTTGATCTGAAGACTTCCAGTGCTGGAGTAGTTTGAACAAGCAAAGAAATGTTCAGTATCATGGATTTGTCTACATCTAGCATCCATCTGCCTTCCTGAAAAGCTCGTCAATGGTATCATTCATAAAATATGTCATTTTAAAATATCTGTCTGGAAATTGGCTCATCTAAGTAGTCCGTTTAAGCTGGTTAGTTTGCAGCATAGTGCATAGCAAAATACTCTCCTTCGTCTATGAAATCTACAGTGAACCCAGAGTTTACCAGCCTCCCTGTCTGACTTCCTACATCCTACGTCAAAGCCCTTCAGTTCTCTGTTGATGCTTTCAAACAAACATAAGAGGCTTTTCCAAAACACGGGATTTATACAACGGGTCACACTGGGATCTCGTTCATAAGAGAAAAGATGTTGTAAAAGGGATGGCAAAGAGGAAAGAGCCAAACAGCTTGCCAACTGGGGGTATGAGATGATGCTATTCAGAAGATGCTGCTGGGCTAGAGGAAGACTTGAGAAGTGCTCAATTCACCCAGGACAACCCATGTGTGAGCCGGGTGTACCATATGGCTGGCTGGGAGGAGTGGAGTTTTGCTGCAACTCACAGCAGAAATCAGCCATGCTCCTCAAATTTTGGTGATCACGCTCATTCCCTCTGGACATGCTCTCTTTGGAAGCTCAGTCTACCAGAGTTTTGTGGAAAAGCCTCGGGATGACCAAGCATTTTCCCTTCTTATCTGGAGCAGGCTCCTCACTGCAGTTCACGCAGAATCAGCCTTGGCCAGGGTGATCTGAAAAGCTGATCTAAGCTGTTGGCCTCCTGTGCTTCCCAACCTGCTGCTCTCCCCTCTCACCCCTCAGGACAGTGATGTTTATTATCACAGCCAATTTTGATGGCAGTGCAGGGATTTGTTTTCTTTCCTTTTTAGTAGGCGTGCTGCAGGGGTCCTGCTGTGAGCAACAAACATCCTCATCCATTTGAAGGGATGAAAAACCACCCTGACGTGGTATTTTGGGAGTAGAAACAATCAGCTTCAAAGGAAAACTGACCACAAAAGCCGTTTCCAAGTGGAACTGCTGATTCCGAAGCTGTAGAAAGCAGTTTAGCTGTGTTAATATGATCCCAAGAAAACAGCCTCAGAAGCCCCCAAAAGGGAAAAGAAGCCCCCACAGCTGTCACACGTGCCTTGCAGTGCAGAGCTTGGCATCAATGTGCCTCCTGCCTCCATGTCTTTGAACCAATCCATCAAAGATTGCTCATCAGCGATCATGAGGGGATTTTCAACTCTGCAACCAGCACATCTTCAAAGACCACCTTGCCTCCACCAGCCATGGGGCAGAGTCACCATGCATGCACCATGGGGCTGTGCCGTACGTGGGCTCTGCATCCCCTGTAACCAGCTTGCTCGCAGTTATGGGGATGTCATATTCACCCGTGTTGAGACACAAAACACTGCCACGGCACTGACATGGGCCTGCTCCTGCACCCACATGACACAGCGCAGGGATGGTGCTGCCTGGCATGCTCCCAGGGGAAAATGGGTACCAGGGAGCACTTCCCTGACAAAGTTTGGATGGGACCACTTTGTTTTTGACGGGAACAGGAATTTACCCACTTAAGCGTGAACCCTCCCCCATCACCTGGCCCCAGCATCATGAATGCTGCCTTGTTTTCCTGGGTTGTAAGTACATCCAAACAGCATTTTGAAGTCAATTTTACCTTCTAGTTACTTCTTCAAAAATTGCACAAAGAGGTATGGAGTTACAGCAGTAAATAATTTTAGAATTATACTACTTAGAATAATTTTAAGGTTTTCTTGATGCTCTAATAGGAGAATGGTAGCCCTTTAATTGAACAGGAGGGAGATGTTCACATCCCTGAGCATGGAGTATTGGACCTCTCCCAATGACAGTTCCTACCACGTGGTCTAAAATTCCTGTTTTCCTTTCCCCAAGCTTGTAGCAAACAAAAGCATTTGTTTAGGTGGGAGCCTGTCTAGAATGTCACTGTTCTGAATAGGAGTGCCACGGAGAAGAGAGAGGAAGAAAACATGGCTTAGGTAGGAGAGGTAGAAGGCTAAAAAGCTGAGTTCAGTCTTTCGCAAGAGGGTATGAATATGGAAAGCTGTAGATAGCCTTAAAAGAAGCTTAGCAGCTCCTGTCAGCTCCATCACAGGAAGCCTCCTTCTAGCTCACCTTCTGCCCTTCTGCCCATAGATGACAAGCAGTCACAGTGTAAATCCCAGGTATGGCTGCAAGAGGGATACACTGTCCATTTTATATCACCACTAAGTCTGTGTCACTTGTATGCAAATCTAGAGACAGAGTAAAAGGCAGGGGAAGTCACACCTGTGTATGTGACTGAGTGGAATAGCAAGATGAGCAATGTCAGGGAGAGACGTGACTCCACTGAGGTCACCAGAGCTCCTGCCTGCTCCTCTTGGCTCTGGCTTTGGACCTGGGAGCACCACAGAGAGATCGATCTGGGCTTACGTAAAAAGTAGGGTGTGGAAGCAACCTTATCTTGTTAGCTGTTTTCCTGTTTTACATTTGCTGCTGGGCTGCTTTAAACCGCATCCCAGGGGCTGGGTAGGTTTAGTGCAGAGCTGTTATGCCAACTCACTCCTCCCTCCCTGGTGAGGGCATCCCCTCCCTCGTTTTTGGTAGTACCCAAGTGCTGCGAAGGTGTCACCACAGGGCTTAGCACAGAGCTCACATTGATGCTGTCTTGCTGTGGATTGTACTGTGTTGTTATCCCTGTGCTTTTATGACGAAGCAACAACTGCAATAACTTTCCACCCCGAGGTTAAGTCACCACAGAATCCAAACCAGGATTTCCACGAGGTTGCACACACCTATTTCTGGCCATATTTTGCTTTGTTTGCCTCAGTTCAGGCAAGAGATGTGAAACTCTGGCCAGTGAGTAGATCTGCCTTAACCTTTGGCTATCAGCTGGCAGATGGACAAACAGACTGAGCACAGAGGGAACATGCCCAGGTGGGTCAGTGCCAAACTGCCTAGTGCTGGAGAGATATCCCTTGTCATGCTGGGCTTTTTTTAACTTCTCTCCGCAGATCAAAAGCCCTGTAGCCAAACTAACGTCTGCCTCAAAACCATTTCCGTCAGAGGAAAGAAGAGAGTACTTGCTTGGGGACATCTGCTGTACACAGCCACTTCAGGCAGAACAAAGGGAACTAACTGCAAACAGAGGAGTCTGCATCCTGAGAGGGGCAGCCGGAGTAACAAGCCACGTCTTTCCTGCCTTTCTCTCCTTTCAGCAGGCACCTTGGTCTCAACCATCCATTCAGAGAGGGGAGAGGAAAGCAGGGGTTTTACACCATTTGGTACTAACCCTGGGAGGGACACCCGCCTCTCTCATCATCAACTAAAGAGCCTCATCGGATTAACAATGAGTTTTTATGGGCTCTCGGTGCCAGCGCCACAACTACAGTGGTCTTTTCTGTTTAAGGGTACTACAGGATTCACATGAGGCTGCTAAAGCCTGGCTGCCTGCATAGTTAGTG